AATCCCATAATGACTCCCTCTATCAAGATAATTCTCTCTCTCTCTCCTTTCTCTCTCTCTCTCTCTCTCTCTCTCTCTCTCTCTCTGTGTGTGTGTGTGTGTGTGTGTGTGTGTGTGTGTGTGTGTGTGTGTGTGTGTCCTTCCCCCAACTAGACCATCCTGTTCCTATTAAGTTCTAGTGTTTGAAGATGATCTGGCCCTTCTGGACCTCCCAGGATACTACCATGTCCTCTACAGGAATTTGACCAATGGAATATTAAGGCCAATAGCCATGGAAGAGAGAAACAAGAAAGAGGAGCAACATGAGAAAACCTGGCTGGAAGGCAAAGAAAATATTTTTCATCTTCAGATGTTCTTGAGGCCAGCACTAAGTATTCTATACAAACTACAGTCTAGGAAAAGACCACGAACAGTGCTCTCTCCATCTGCTATGGAGAAGAGATTAATAATAATAAGACATCCTTCCATCCTAACCAGTATCCATTCCACTATCCCATTCAGGATGAATTTGGCAACAGTCTCCACTGCTTATAGTACCAGCTGCTTCATTCATTTTATGTAGTCTCCCAGGACTCTTTTAAGATGTAATGAACATCAGAAATAGTAGGATGTATCAGGTCAGAGAAAATCTACCTTTCTTTAGTCTGTTCCAACCTTCCCCCTCCAGTATCTTTCCTATAGCCCAGCCTGGCATTCTTACAAGATGGAGAATTCGGGGTCGGGGGTAGGGGTGACTGTACTTTCCACACAGTCTTTTCCCTTTACTTATGAATATGTCCTTCCCTGTTGTTACTGGAGTTGTCATGTCACATATGGGTGAGTGTACTTGAGTGCACGTAACTAGCTTCAGCCAATGTAGCATAGCATCTCTAAAGACTGAGTAAAAGCTTTTACGCAATGTGGGCTCAGTACAGCCCTTGACTGCTCATACTCTAGCATTCCATGACAGCCCCTTTTGGGTATAGCCTGGACCCTTAAACTGGAGAGAGTCTTGCTGCAGAGACTACTTTAAACTGGAGCCCCCTCTAAGAGAAAGCAGACTGCAGTGGAACCATTTGTTTTCTGGTGAAGAAAATAGAATCAGACACATAAGTTAAATTGGTTGCAGCTCCCGTGGCAACAGCTGACATCCCTTAGCCTTCTGAGTTGTTGCTGAAGAAAACTGGTACAAAAGGTCCATTTCGCTTGCCCTTAACCCAAGCAGTTCCTGTATAGGCTGGAAAGTAGGCTCTTGGGTTGGGGTGCCTTCTAGAGGAATGGGCACTGGTGTGATTACTGTTCTCCAATGAGGACATGGCCTTGGGCCAGGTGGAACAGGCAAGTGCTGTTCCCTCTATGTTTTAATCCACCTATAGTTAAGCTTGCCTTCTGAGATCATGAAAGCCTGGGTCCATAATTAAGCATGAACTGGACTCCACCAGTGTGATTCCCACTACCATTCTTCCCATTTAAAACACCCAACAAACACAGCCTAGCTGACTCTCATAAGGGAAATAAGATTGACAGTAAGATAATTGCTTCACTTCTGCTTAATTACAGAACTACCATCCCCAAAATACTGTCTCTTTCCCTCTGAAAACTGGCATTAACTATTCATAATTCAATCAATTTGATAGGGGATGTCCTTCTGTATGCTATGAATATATGTTTCTCTTTTTGGTTGATGAATAAATGCTGATTGGCCAGGCAGGCAGTATAGGCAGGACTATAAAACAAGGAGAATTCTGGGAAGAGGAAAGGCAGAGAAGGATTTGGGAGCAAGACACCATGCAGCTGTTGAGGAAGAAAGAGATCCAGGCATCACCAGTAAGACAAGACCAAGTGGAAATACATAGATCAATAGAAATGGGTTATAGTTAAGAAAGAGCTAGTCATAAGAAGTCTGAGTCATCAGCCAAACAGTTTATAACTAATATAAGCCTCTGTGTGTTTATTTGGGACTGAACATCTATGGGACCAGGTGGGTCAGAAGCTTCTGTCTACAAAGAACCAGTCAAGGAACACAAGTCAAACTTATATTTCTCCTGTGGGGGTGAAAACCTTTTTAGTAGCAAACATATATATTAGCTGTGTTCAAAGCACTGTCCTTGATGACTCTTATTATTGTAACTTTCCAAATAACTGTTTTTCAACTTTTGGAACCAAGGTATCTTTTGAGATCAACTTCCTGTACTTGAATACTATAAATAATCAAACCCAGGCAGGTCTAACAGATTACAGAAGGAAGGGAAGGTTGCATATGGGCAAGTGTTAACAGATGAAATGTAATTAGCATTAGACTAATTCTTTTGAAGTGCTGTAAATATAGTATGTCCCACTATTAGTGCTGAAGCAACGAATCTATAAATTATTCATATGTACTCCCAGTCCCAAGAAAACATTCCACAGTACATAGATGCTACCCATTCAGAGGCTGAGATGGGTTCTCAGCTCATGCAATCTAATTTTTCTGAGTGTCTCCCTAAGATCACTTGTAACACTTCTCTATCTGCCACAGTAATTAATAGTTCTCCGATATTTGTTCCACTTTAGGTTTGGCAGCTACTAGATAAGCCTGTTTTGATTTAGATACCAGCAAAGTAATTACTAAATTCATAATAAAGTGGTTATTTGGGGTCAAGATGATGATACAGTCTCAGCTCATACTTGCTGAGTGGTTTATAATCACGGCAGGGGAGCTGATCTAAAGCTGGAATAGATTTTGTATGTGTCAGGTATTTTTGTAGCCACAAGACACCACAGGCATACTGCTTGATATTCTTATAATTTCCTGTGTAATTCAAGGACAATATGTAGACAAGTGGAATGGGCACAGATGAAGTGAAGAAGTTGCTTTGTTTCCCTTGGGGTTCTATCCTTCTGATCTGGCAAATAGGTGTGGATGCCCTGTCTAAAGGGACAAGTATATTGTCACACATCATCCCTGAGATTTAAACAATGGCCTTCTGAAGTTATCTACTCTTAATCAGATGGCATGCTACAATAACTTAAGGTTACATAATCATAAATCATGGAGACATTATATATTTAAATCTGTTTTTTATTCATCTATTCATTTACATCCCAGCTACAACCTCCCCCATCCTCCCCTCCCAGTTCTTCTCCCCTACTTTTTCCCCTCCAATCCTATTTGAATCTATTTTAAAATCCATAATATTTTTAAAATTAAGTGTGAAGAGAGAGGTGGGTAGGTAACTAATAGTCATTGAAAAGCCCAGGATTGCTACCTTTGAGCAGGAGAAGGAATCAAAAAATGAGCAGGGTTTTTCACAAGGAGTAAGAGCCAAGTGATTCTGCTTTTATACCCAGGTTATTGCACAGTGCTGAGGAAGAAGTATGCGCTCAATCAAATGATGTAAAGGAAGGTTGTCCCGACCCTTGGGACGTCAACCTGGAGCAAGAGAGTCAGGGATAGGGAATGGGGACAAGAGACGCAGAAAGAACGACCACAAGACAGGATTCTGATCAAGTGGCAAACTTTATTTTTCTCAGGCTAGCTTAGATAGTCAGCAGAGCAGGATATGAGGAGGGGTAGAATGGGTTGTTTGTGTACCAGGTGTTAGTGTAGACAGGATATTAGGAAACCACAAAGAAAGGATGCTGGGCAGGGCAAAGGGTTCATGAATAAGGGCTCCAGGAAGGGTTGCCTAAGTGACTTAGCCTGTGGGTGGAACATAGGGTGGAGGACTGGGTTAAGTTGTTTCTTTTCTTGACTTGTCTTCCATGAATAGATCTGCTTTATTGTCCCTGTGTGTCCAGAGCTAGCCAGAATAGGCTGTGGCAGTGTGACTGCAGCTTATCTACAAAGATAGATTTCAGAGCACAGATCTCATGCCAAGCCCTGAGATCTTTGGCTCCCAAAAGAAGGTGTTCCTGGTGGCATTTCTTTGTAGGTTTTGTTTTCTGCTTTTAGTTCAAGTTTTATTTTTACTCTGGTATGGGGTGCACATGGGCAAGGATTAGGGAAAGTGATGGGTGAGCTGAAATGGACCTCTAGGACAAAAGACTCCAACAAGAACAAGCTTCAGTGGAGAACCTCAAAACAAACAATCATGAGACTGAAATGAAGGAATGCGATTTATGTGGAAGGTCAGAGCCAGAGCAAATCTTGACAGCTCCTCTCCCGTGGGAGGCACCAAAGTAAAGAGAGAAATAATTCTTACATGGACCCTAAGCCAGCTGCTCTGTAGGGTTCACTTTTCCCTAACCACACAAAAGGTCATTTTCTACACATCATCTTTAGAAAACAGAAGTGGGCACCTCTTTCTCATTGCTCATCTTTGAAAGCTTAGAACTACTTAAGGTTGATTTGCATACAATAATTATTTACTTAATTAACAAGCTCTCTGCTAGATTGTCCTTCAACCCTTGGATGCTGAAAATTATGTAAGCTCCCTTCAAAGTACAGCAACACTCCCTGGACAGGGCCTGCTGCTAACAGCTGCTCTGCCTGGCCCAAGAGCGCCATGGAAGTGAAACATCACAGATGTCTCTATAACTGAAAACTAGGAAACAGTAAATATAGGCTACCCATAAATCTAGTGTATATGGTAAAATTCTCTAAAAATGCAGAAAAGCAGCATATTCCCTACAGAGCTGGGAGTTAACCTTAAAATAAAACAAAGCACAGTTTTAAGGATGACAAATGCTTTAAATAGGCTAGCCGAAGCACATCAAAATTTAATGTCTCCACCACATTAAGAATTTTCCCCTGTGGTTCAGGAATAACAGAATCTAAAACAGCCAACTCATCTATGAATAGAGAGAATCTTTGAAATGAATTTCACAGAGTATAACAAGCTCCAAGCCCTCTCTCCCTCTGGACACAGAACAACTCAAATGCCAAAAGGGACAAAGTGAGTGGCTGGAGTAAGCAGATGAACTTCAAAACAAAGTGTAGAGCCGCCGTAGACAGCAGAGAAGAGGTCCCTGGGGCCAGCCACCACAGTCCCCTTAGACAGCAGAGAAGAGGTCCCTGGGGCTGGCCACCACCTACTCACCAGATGTCAGACTTGGCATCATAGCCTTGGTGCTTCAGGGCCTCAGGACTCATATAATGGGGGGTCCCAGTTAAAGTTGTAGCCAGCTCACACGATCCCATTAGGAGCCGAGAGACTCCAAAATCCCCTGGAAATTGCGGTTAATTTGTGCAGATGTTTTAAAAAAACAAAAACCACCATTGGAAATTAACAACTAAAACTGATTTAACTTCATCATTTATTATGCCGTGCCTTCATGCTATCTTAAAGGAAAAGGAGAGTGACATTTTAAATTCCATAATGGTGATCAATAGCTTTAGACATATGTGCTTTATAGGAGAAAGACGACCAAACAAGGAAAGTGAATTATATAGCCTCAGATTTCTTACTTCTAGAATTATAGAAAATCAAAATAACTGGCTATTAAGCCAGTTGAAGTATGATAATAACTAGTGGGAATTCTAGAAGGACTAAATGTGAAGATATGAAAGTTCCCCTGCAGGGAGAAGAGTTTGATCTTAATTTTGATCTTTGTTTTCAAAGGGGAAATTCTAAGGATTTAAACTATTCACAAATATACATATAAAAATTTGAATCCACTGACTTCTCTAATTAGCCAAATACCTGTATTCTTTTCTTCTAAGAACACTCTATATGATATTTTGACAACTGAGAAACTGTTTGAATGGGGATATACTTCCAAAGAATTAAACATTAATAAAGCCATTATAGCAGCATTTAAATTATGTATGGTCACTGTTCGCTGATGTACTAAAGTTAGTGAGTGGGGGATGGAGAGATGGGTCAGCAGTTAAGAACACTCATTGGCTGCTCTTACAGAGTACCCAGGTTCAATCCACAGCACCCACAGTTCACAACCAAGCTGTAACTGTAGCTACAGGGGATCCGACACTCCCTTCTGGCCTCAGTTGGTACTGCATGCTTGTGGTGCACAAACATACATACAGGCATAATGCCCATACACATAAAAATCATAAAACTTTTCAGTAGATGAGGAACCTGCAGCATTAATGAAACCAGCAAAACAAGAGGAGGACTGCAAAGCATGCCTGTCAAATCCATCAGCCATGTAGCAAGTGCTTTATGCTTCAATTTAGATCAGACAATCAGAAACAAAGTAACTGGGATTTGCTGGTCTCATCCAGATAAGAGCAAATATCTGAGGAGGTTGAAGAAGCCGGGGCTGGATTACAGCGCTAGCTTGAACTATGCACTTGAGCTCACTGTGACTAAACCTAGGATAAACTTGCTTGTAGCTTTACAGCAGACATTTGAAACATCTTACCAATTTTCAGTTGATTGTTTTTCAGAAATATATTCTTTGATTTCAAGTCTCGATGTAGTATCCTCCTACAAAAGGGAGGAGATAAAACGTCATGTAAAATAGAAAATTAAACCCAATTAGAAATCAAGGGTGTGGTTGTATATAGGGAGTAACCATGCCTTTCCACAGATCCAGCTTTCATTGCTTAAAGGCTTCAAAACCAGAAAATTTTTCCTTTCTCCAAAGCAGACGACTTCATAAATGGGAGATTTTAGAGGGGAAGGAACATGCAATTTTGCTTTTTAAAAGTGTTTCAAAAGGTCCGATTGTGTTGAGGGTTTTGTTTGGTTGGTTTTGCTTCATGATTGTTGGGATAAGGTTGAGGTAAGGATTTGAGCACCAAGAACTGTTTCAGTTTGATGCATTCATGCCATGGGGATGTCTTCCCAATCCCCATCCAATTCCAAGAATGAGCCCCATGTAAACTATGGACTTTTGAGTGTTGTGGTGGTTTGAATAAAAATGACTCCCATAGAATGCTTAGTTACCAGGGAGTGGAACTCTTTGATAAGATTAGAAGGATTAGGAGGTGTGGCCTTGTTGGAGGAAATGTGTTGCGCACAGTGGGGGTGCTTTGAGGTTCCAAAAGCCCATGCCAGGTCCAGTACCACCCCCCCTTCTCTTTGCTTGTGGGTCAGGATGCAGCTATCAGTTACTTCTCCAGCATCATGCCTTTGTGCCCCATGCTCTATACCATGATGATAGTGGACTACGCCTCTGAACGATAATCAAGGCCCCAGTTAAATGCCTTCTTTTATGAGTTGCCTTAAGTCATGATGTCTCTTTACAGCAACAGAACAGTGACTAAGACAAGTGGTGATGACATATGCATGTAAGTACCACTCAAGCAGGGAATGCACATAAACGTTCATGTATGGAGTGGGTGCAATGCATGCTCTAGGTCACAAGGCATATGAGAAACCCTAAAGGACAGCACACAGAAATAAAAGCAAACTAGAAGCTGGAGCCAGCTACACTGGGAAGTTGAGACAGGAGCTAGAGGGTGGCCTACACAACATAGTCAGATCTCATCTCAACAAGATGAGATAGATGAAGAAAGGTGTGTAAGAAGAGGTAAGAAAGAAGAGGGGAGAAGATGAAAGTGGAGGGGCTAGGAAGGGAGGGAACAGGAAGAGGAGGGGTAAGGATAAGAGAAAGGTGGGGAGGTGTGGTTCCTTTAAAGTGTCAACTTGACAAACATCTAGGACCACCAGGGAAAGGAGTATCAATGGAGAACTGTCTAGATTAGGTTGACCTGTGGGCATGCCTGTGAGTAATTTTCCTAACTGGGTTAAATGGGGCAGAAGACCCAGCCAGACTTTGGATGGTACCATTTCAAAGGCTAGGCCCTGGAATGAATAACAAGGAGAGAGTGGCCAGAGCATGACAGGAATGGATTCTTTGTTTTGTCTTCCTGATTATAGATGTTGCTGAGCAGCTCCCTTAAGCTCTGCTGCTCTGATGTCCCTTCGATGACGGACTGTGACCTGGAACTGTAAGATGCAGCAAACCTTTTCTCCCCCTAGATTGCTTTTGTTGGGGTATTTGTCATAGGAACAGAAACTAAACCAAGGGAGACCAGGAAAGGGAAAGAGGTAGAGAGAGTTACATTAGAAGTCGACCCCTCCAAACAAACAAACAAACAAAAAAGTTGACCCCTTCAGGAGAGTTAAATCTATCTTTAAACTATGTCAGTCCTTGACTAGAACAAGGTGATCTGCCTCTGATGTAACTCCCGGGTGTAGAGAAGACAATATCACCCAGCATCTCTTAATAACTCACCTACATTCTTAGTCACTCAAAACTACCAGGAATACCAGGTGACAAGACCAACTAGCCAAAGGCAACAACAGTAAAATTTTCCAAAAGGAATCCATAAATGGTTAACCTATTGAAATTACTGGATTAGTGTACAAAAGTTAAAACACTGGAAAATCAAGTTTGACCCTGCACTAGAAGACCATCTAGTAATATTTTTTCCTTTTTAAATATTTTCCGACACCAAATGATATAAGGGAGGCTGCTAGAAGCTGCTTTAAACTATTTCCTCCTCCTTCCCAAAGAGAGGGAGGAGGTCCCAGGAAGCTGATAAACCTATAAGACGGACAGAAGACTCATTTCCCCAGGGTTGCAGTGTGCAAATGCTGCAGAGACTCCTTTCAGCGGAGCTGTCTGCAAGTTGTGAGGTAAGATCCAGGGATACTGCCTTTGTAAGTCAACATCCATGTTGGGATGGGTTTTAGGGTGATGCAGCTGTCTTTCAGTTACCCATGATCTTGTTCATAACCTCAATAAACTCATTGGTTCACTAAGTGTTGGCACTCTAACTGGGGTAGACATTTGTTCATGTATCCCCAAGAAAAGTTACACAACAGAAGCTTGTAGACGCTATTTCTCGGTTCTTATACAAGATAAAATAAATAGTGTGTGTGGGGGGGGGGAGGGAGGAGATCGAGAACAAGCACAATGTTGGATCTTGGCTACTGTTATAACAAGTGTACTGTATGGAAGGGTTTCCAAGAGCCTGACAACTGCAAGAGAACAAGCCCAACTATACATCAGCCAGACAACAGAGGCAGAAAGAACCTGAACCTCAGAGGACACCCCTGAGATCGCCTCAGTTAACCAACTCCTGAACTGTCCTCCTGGACAGCAAAATAATGAATCCTTTCTATTGATTGAGACGCTTCTGTTACTTGCAATTAAAGGAATCTTCAGCTGAGTCTCTTCATGCTGGCCCTATTGATTCTAGATCCAAGGAGACAGAGTCTTGTCTCTTGGAGCTGTAAGGATGCAAGGAGCCAGAGAGTCTAAGGCTTTGTCTTTGTGATAATGAGCTAGGGGACATTCCAGAAGACTGGCTACATGATGTTAGGAGAAGTAAGGCATACATAAGAAAGTTATCTGGTGACAACTGGGCAGGTAAAAGATGAGTTACAAATAGCAGTATATTACTATCCCTCTTCACATACAAAGACATGAAAATATGTAAGGTAGAACTATGCATTTCCAAGGCACAGAATATGCTAGAATGCAGATTTTAAAATACAATGGACTGTCTCTGTGATGGAGTTAAGAAGTTTTATGTCACAGGCCAGCTGTCAAGCTATTGGAGATCTGTAAAATTGTGATTTACTGACTTTGTAGTTACAGTAAGCAAAATGTATCCTGCAATAAAAAGCCTTACAGCAATCCCTTTAAAATATATTTTTAAAATCCAGGAAATAACAAGGTAACAAACAGTCCAGGATGGTTTAAATTTTTCTCTAGAAATCCCAAAGTATCTCTACTAGTTCCCTATCCTCTACCTCACCCCTTATCTACTGAAGTGAAACTCTCCTCTCCTTTCTGGTCCATGGCACCCACTCAGGAACTGCTTGCTTGTGCTCAGCATTGTACTACGATTCCCATCTCCATCTCCCCATCCGACAATTCTTCCCCAGCCTCCAGGTCTTTCCCTGGGATGAAGAGCAGCTTTCAGAGGCAGAGCAACAACATAAGGCAGGCTTCTGGAGAAGGCACGAGAACTTAGCCTTCATCTCCCTAGACCCTGTGTAAATAGTGTCTGAAACCTTAGCTCCCTCCCCTGCGGATCTATCTTTCCCCTGGCAGGGTCTCACAGTGGACTTCAAACATCTTCCCAGAGCCCCCACCCAACCAGTGACCCTTTGATGATGCTCAGCCTGGGACGCCCCTGTTATTTTCTCTGCCATGTGACCCCATTCTGAGCTTCAAGGTACCTGCTTGACTTTCCTCAGCTGTGACTTGATGATGAGCCTCTGTACTGGATCCAGAGATAGAGGTTAGATCCTTCTAGAACTTCCTGGCTATGGCCACCACACCAGAAATCTAGACTTGGTGTGGAAACTGACCCCAGGGCACACTCGAGAAGGGAAATTGGGAGGAAAGTAAGAGTTCAAGAGGAATCAGACACTGCAGCTCACCTCAGCATTCCCATCCCCCAGACTTGGGTAGATACCTCCTTCCTTGGCTGAATACTCTGAAATGGATTCCCAAGCAGGTGCCTTTCCCAGAAAATGAGTTCTCCATGTCACTTTTCAGAGACTCATTTAGATACCCTATCACAACCTTTTTTTTAAGCTGGCTGAGAAATGTGTGGTAGCTAGGTGATGCCAAAGCCACCTCAGGGAAAGTTCGCTAGCCTGTCTCTCCACACCTGGGATGCACACTAACCCAGGGTCAGCAACACTTCAAGACCACCAAGGTTATGCACACCACGAGGGGCGGCTCCACTTTCCCCCAAGAAACAGGGGTTGATAAGCTCCACATCCCATCAGGAAGGAGGTCTGTGCAGCAATCTTAAAGACAGCTGAGTGAACTGTGAATATTCTTAGGCTTTAACAGTTTCATTTATGTACCTGCCATATGCTACAGACTAAATTAAAACACAGTACAGGAATGTTCCAAAGAAGGGAGCCAATTCTCCCTTTCTTTGGTTCCCTTCCTCCCCTTATTCCCCTAACATTGTCTTTGCCTTCTCTAGAATACTATATTTGTCAAGTTTCTCCACAGAAATGAAACCAAATACATGACTTAGGACTGAGAACTCAAGCACTTGTGCCTCAGAGGGCCGGTCACCTGCATCAGCAGGCTAGAGGCCCAGGAAAGCCAGGTATCAGGCTCCATCTGAAGGCCTGAGCCCCAAGGGATCGAGCATATAAATCCCTGTCCAGGGCCAGAAGCAGAGAAGGGGCCCCTTTCCTCCTTCCTTGCCTTGGTAGGTAGCACATTGCCCAGGCACAATGGGGAGGAAACCTACTTGACTAATTCAAGGGCCAATCTCACACAGATAGATTCTCACAGACCACCCAGAAGCAAGCAGCATTTTAAATGGGGAATCCCGTTGCTCATTCCAATGGACATAAAACTAACCAACATCTGCACTTAACTATTGTGCACCATACCTAAGCTCTCACATGTGTGTATCAGATTGTTTCCAGTGTGATCCTCCAGATTAACACGTAAGCAATCTATGTACTTTTCAAAATACACTAGTAGATACTGCAGAATACCTGTGAAGCCAGAATAATTTCCATAGACCATTTTTGATTGGTGTCATTTGGGAAGTAGGAAATTCAAAGCAGAGAAAAGTATTGTGTGCATATGTGCTGTGTCCGTGTTCCTAAATATCTGAATGTTTTCTGCCCTGTAATGAGTGCTTCTTTGGGGAGGTAAGGGCATCTCCACCTCTCTGCAACTGGGATTGACCAGTTGACTTGTCATGGCCATTGAACATGAGCAGATAGATAGTCACTGTGTCTGAGAAGTGATGAAGGCTGCCCTAACTCACCCTTGCCTTCCCTCAGCCAGAGATCCAGTTAGGAGTCATTGCCTGGGCCTGGGTGCTAGGATGAGCAGACACACAGAGAGGACTGCGGGATCGCCCCCATCCCTTGGCTACCGCTCTGTGGCATGAGCAGCCCACTACCTTCAGTAGGAATCGGCCCCAGCAACACTGTCCACAAGCAGCTTCTACTAGACTGTGAATATTCTTGGCTTCTAACATCACAGGTTTTAGTTGTTTATATTTTATGATTTAGAAAAATCTGTTGGGATTTTGCCCATTTTTAAAATAGACAATTAAGTTTATTTTGTAAAAGAAATGAGTTTTGGGCTTGTGATTAATCAGATGTTCAAAACTAACCAGGGAAAAGAGTGTGCTATATACTGATGAACTGGAAAAATTACACAGCGTTCATCATTTAAAAGCCAGACTGACGACAGGTGCAATGGCACATGTCTATAATCCCAGCGCTTAGGAAATGGAGGTTTGAGGCTAGCCTGGGCTACATAGGGAAACCCAGTTTCTGATAAACAAAAACTATTCCAAGGGCTAAGAATGTAGCTCAGTAGTAGAGTACTTGTCTAGCAAGGCCATGTTCAGTTCACTAGAAAGGCAAAAAAAAAAAAAAAAAAAAAAAAAAAACAAAAAAAACAAACCTAGACTGAGTTTTAAGACTGGATTCAGATGGAGCTATTTGTCTTTCCCATTCAAATCAAAATTTCTAAAACTATAAAATAATTCAAGAGGAATTCATAAATAATGTTAAAAATAAGAGCTACACAGAGCCAAGAATTTTGAGCAATTTCCTGAAGAAGAAGAAGAAAAATGCACAAAGAGGACTCCAAAACCTAAAGCAGGCATAGAAGAGCTCTCCCTCTGTGTCCCCCCACCCTCCACCCCAGCCGCTCAGCCATGCACTGGCTGCTCTCCCGCCCCCCACCTCACCGGGCCCCCCGGCCCCCTGCCTCTGTGTCCCCCCACCCTCCACCCCAGCCGCTCAGCCATGCACTGGATGCTTTTCTCTTCCTTCTCTTCTCTCCCTACACAGTGGTTTCTGCTTCCTGACCTCACCTACTGTCAGAGTTACTTTCCTGCTACTGTGATAAGAAACCATGACCAAGGCAACATATAAGAAATACATTTAATTGGGAATCAGAGCTCCAGAGGGTGAGTCCATGACCATCATCACAGGGAGCATGGACGCAAGCAGGTGAGCATGGTGCTGGCCCAGTAGCTGTGAGCTCACATCTTAAAACACAAGCACGAAGCAGAAAGAGTCCTCAATCCTAATCAGTATCCCAGATCATTTCTTTGAGTCCCTCATAGTAAACTCCCAAGGACAATCTCTACTGTAACTCACCATCAATTGGATGCATCATGGTTTGATCTTGGATTTGAACAGCCACACAATTGTGTGCACCCATCTACATCCATCTTCTTTCATCTTATATTGTATGTTGGAGATTTGTTCAGATCATACATTATTGTTTGTGTGTTTATTTAATCATTCCATTGCAGACAAAAACTTAAGAGTGTATCAGTCATTACAAAAAGTGCTTCTGCAGCCATTTTTGTATACCTACTGCTGATCAGGCCTCACTTCTCTTCTTTTGATTTTGGTATCAGTCCATATCACTTGTGCAAAAGAATGCATTTCATTATGACATTTCCACACCTGCATCTAGTGTGCTTTGAACATCCTTATCCCTTTCTTTCCCACCCATTCATCTCAATAGGCTCCTCCTACTTTCATGTCCTTTTATAAAATCTAGATTCTATGTATGAGAGAAAACATAACAGCATTTCTCTAAGTCTGGTGTCACCTGGTTTGATCATTCTGATTCCATCCAGTTTCCAGCAAATGACACATGGTTCTTTACTAATAAGCCCCATGATGCGTATAGATACTCTGTTTTCTTTATGCATTCACCCCATTGATGCGCATCTATGACGAACTCAGAACTTTGTCATGTGTCAGTGTCAGAGAAAACATGAGTGCAGGTCTATCATATGTCCACTATGATTCTTTTGGTCTATATCCAAAAGGTCAGAACTCATCACTACTCCCCTCAAGGAATATAGAACCATCATTTGGATGTTTAGTCCAGAAAACACCATCATATATCTCCCCAAAGAATTGCTACTAATGGCCACCCCACAAATAATGTGACAAATGTCAAGTTGCTCTGCATCCTTGCCAACACATGTAATCGTTAACAATTAAAATCATGGAGCTGGGCTGTGGTAACACATGCCTTCAGTCCCAGCACTCAGGAGGCAGAGGCAGATCTCTGTGAGTTCGAGGCCAGTCTGGTCTACAGAGCTAGTTCCAGGACAGCCTGAAGTTACACAGAGAAACCCTGTCTCAATAAACCAAACCAACCAAACACACAAAGGCCTATCTTCTGGCTGCACCTTTATGTCTATATTTAGTTATTACCACAGTCTATACTGTTATAGAAGCTTCTTACATGCATACGATTCCAGTGTACATGCTCTACAGTCCTACAAAACAATCAGTGGCAGTCCCTTCCTTGTTACTGTCTTACAGATGAAGAAACAAGGCTCAGAGATGTCAAGCAGCTTGCCTGGCGTCATAGTGGGTCATTCAGTGGAGATGTGATTCTGTATAGCCACCCACCTTGTAGCTATGACACTGTACGTGACTTAGTTTCAGTTTAGTGCTATTAAATGAATAAAGTGAATTAAAACATAAACTGGCATTTCTCTATACATAAGACACTTATAATGAATGGTTACAATATGATGAGTAAGAGAGACCACCATTTTTCATCTGAATCACCAAGAATATAATTCCAGATACACAGATTTAGCAACATCCACATATGTGGCCCTGTTGAATGACTTTTTATAAACACTGACAGACTGAAAATGACACTCCTCCCTTTAGAGGTTGTTTCTAAACTCATTTATTTTTAACTATCACTAGGTAATCTTAAACACATCAAAAATATTGGGGGAATGTGTTCAGAGTGTATTTTATACTAGCATGGGAATAGTTGTATGTAACCCTGTATAATTCAAACTAAAATAACAAAATTGAAAAACAAGAATAGAAAACAAATCAGATTTGGGATCTTAAGTCAACCAGATTCTACTTGTATATTTTACACACAGAACACCCCACAGAGGGCATCTTTGTTGGCACTGTTTTATAATTAAGTCCTTGATGCAATAAGCCAAGAACATGCTAAGAAGAGTGGGACAGGAAAGAAAGGATGGATGGAGAGAGAAGGAAGGAGAGAGAAAGTAGAGAAAGGAGGGAGAGAGGGGAGGAAGGAGGGGGAGAGAGAGTGGGGGAGGGAAATAGAGAGAGAGGGAGGGAGGAGGGAGAGGGGGGAGGGAGGAGGGAAAGGGGAGGAAAATAGAGAGAGAGGAAGGGAGGAGGGAGAGAGGGGGAGGGAGGAGGGAGAGAGGGAAGGAGGAGGGAGAGTGGGGGAGGGAAATCGAGAGGGAGGGAGGGAGGAGGGAGAGAGGGAAGGAGGAGGGAGAGTGGGGGAGTGAAGATGATAGCAATGTGAGCCTGCAGGCACAGCAGCCAGCAGTCCGCAGCTTTATTGAAGATGTTGTGATATTTCATCATCATCTCAGGCGTCACCTCAGAGACTGTTGGCAGCCCCACTGAATTAGTTACTATCTGTGTCATCAAGCATGTGTTTCAGCAGATATATTGCCAATTGCAGGGGAATCTGATTACTTTTTATGCTATCAGAAACCACAGATGACACACTTAAGCAATGACATCCCCGGACTACCAGGCCTGGTTGTGCCCTAGGAATATCACTATCACTCAAGATGGCTGTTCCTGGGTGTGGCTCACTCCTGCAGTGAGCATGCCATGACTGACTGCACACTTTGTGAGAGTCTATTCTTACAAATTTATTTGTATCATTTGATGGAACTAAAATGATTTAACACCTTAACATCTGATCATACAATGTTTTAAAATGTATTGTTGAGGCAAACTCCATAAACAAGAATGACAGATTAATGAAACTCAGAGGATACACTTTGACTGTTACCTGACATTTTATAGCAAAACTGACTTTTGGATTGAATATTTGTCTGTCATGACCTACTAACAAAGTGTGAGTATCTGCTTTAGTTCACAGAAGATGGTTTCGTAAGGCACCCACCACGCTCAATACAGTTTCTGCTATACTGAAGATCAATTTGGTTTCTAGAACTACAAAAAAGTGGGAATCTGGAGATATGTCTCAGTGCATAAAGTGCTGACTGTGCAAACATGAGCATCTGAATTCAAATCCCAAGTACCCACATAAAAAAGGCTGACTGTAGAAACTCCTGTCTGTAAACTGAGCCCTCCTGGCAGGAGACTCAGAGGTTTGGCATATCCAGCAGAGAAGATGAGATATCCAGTCTTGGACAAGGTAAAAGTAAAGACTGACACAAAAGGCTGACCTCCACACCCAAGCTGTGGCATGTATACACACATACACAACTGATGTGATAAATGCTATGTGAGCAAATAATTATTCAACAGCTTCCTCCAGGAGAAAAGTCATATTATAAAATATTACAGATGTTTGGCTGTGGCCATTCATCTTCTGGACCCGTTTACTTTCAAATCAAAAATATTCCCCTTTCAAGTTCAGACATGAGAGTTAAAAAAAAATATACCCTGTCCCCAAAAGCAAATCAACATACCTCTCATGCATATAATCAACTCCAAGCAACAACTGGATAAACCATTCTACTATCTGATTTTCAGGAAAGATATTCCCAGCTTCTTTATATTCCTGAATTTTATAGTCCAGATCTCGGCCCTGAAACAAAATAACATAATCTTTCATAGTTTGAATAGGTAAAATTTTAATATCAAGTTCTCTCAACAATGCAAAGCAGCTAGGCCCAAGATGAAGTTGTCTAAGGAGACACCAACTAGATGACCCAGGTGGGACCAGACCCTTGGGGAAATGGAAACAATGCTCCAAACATGTCAGAAGTCACATGACTCTGCTTTTCTATCAATCAAAAGACCCCTCGTCCTCCTAAAAAAGAGTAGCCACTCCCACAGAAATCCAAACAGAGCTCTTATTCCTATTGTCAGCAGTTACCAAGTAAAATCTGCCATTGCTCCTTTAAACTATGTCTATCTAACTTGGTTTTATTTTTGCCATCAAGCAAGGAGAAAACAAATCATATAGATTGTTCCAGACCCCCTGAATGAGGTCAGTTTAGAGGTCTGGACAATCTATGGGGCCACTAGTAGTGGATCAGTATTTACCCCTAGTACACAAATGGACTTTGGGAGCCCATTTCACATAGAGGGGTACTCTCCCAGTCTAGACACACTGGGGAGGGTCTGGGTCCTGCTCCAAATGATATGACAGACTTTGAAGATTCCCCCATGGAAGGCTTCACCATCCCAGGGGAGCAGAGAGGGTTGGGATAGGGGGTTGGAGTGGGGGGGCAGGGGAGGAGGGGAGGGAGAGGGAACTGAGATTGACATGTAAAAGAAGCTTGTTTCTAACTTAAATTTTAAAAAGAAAAGAAAGGAAAAGTGTTATCAGGTACAACACAGGTATCGGGATGACATCCCCTGAATCTGTGTTCATATAAGACCAGGAATAATGTTCCTAGTACCCTCACTTTGCATACAGACCCCTAACATGAGGGAAAGTTAAAAATGGGAGACATTGAAATTCCGATCAGAGACACTAATTGAGTGTACAGTGATGTTTGCATGAAAGGAAATTGGTGTTGGCATGGTGCACCAGTGCTGGCTGCCACAGGAGAGTTTTTTGAATTTTAATTTAAATTTGTTCTATTACTATTAATGTGTCTGTAAATGGGGGTGTGTGGGGGATAGTTGGTAGACAAGTTCAAGAATAGATTCTGTCTTTCCACTGTGGGGTCTGGGGATCGAACTCAGGCCATCAGCTATGTGGGGCAAGTGCTTTTACTCATTGAGCCACCTTGCAGTATCTGGCATGGACAGACTGACAGTGTCTTGGAATGACAGCATTTCCCCTTCTCTATTAAACTCCAGCAAAGCCCTCAACAATCCAGTGGCTGGTGGTGAATGCATGGTTCTGAACATAGCAAAGAAGCATTTAGTCACTCACATGTTGGTGAAAGGTAAAATAAGAGTAATTAAAATCAAGACCAGAAACTGACAATCATGAATGTCTCAATTTCCTGGCAGTGTCTGATGTGACCTTGATGCCAACATGTTTTAATACATTTTAATAAACAAAACATAAAGTGTTAAATTCTCTTAGAGAAGCTCTATTCCTCAAAACTTTTACATTAAAACACGGAAAGATTGAAGCTTGTTTGAGTATGTGTCCCCGAAAGAAAACAGTCAGGAAAATGCTCTTTGGGGGATGTGAAGCACAGGTCCCATGGAGAGTGCAAGAGATACCTGCCATGTCCATGGGGGCAGAAGAGGAAAATGAAGCCATCCACAAACTATGGCAAAGTCCCCCTCAGATGTATAGCAAAGGTATTTCTAACCAATGAGGAAACCAGGAGAGATTACTTGTAATCAAACAAGCGGTCAACTGACTAACTGCTTGTAATGTAGCTTTTAATTTCCTTTCAGTGCAATGTGCAAATATTTGTGTAGCATTTTCACTTTCCAAATTAAGAAATAAGAAGTCAAAATCATATCAAACATTCACATGCAGCCTTGATGAAACTGCCTTCCTTGCTGGATTTTCTAGGCCAAGGAGATCAAAGCTTCTTGGAATTAAAAAGTACAGTGAATTAATATTTAACTATTGGCAAGAAAAAGGAAAAGAGACAAGTTTTCTTGTTCTTCTTCAAATGTGCCTCTCCGGCACTCACTTTCCAACCACAGCATGTCTCGGAGTTATGCAATAGCACACAAACTGTGCAGTAATAATATTTCTGCAAGTTGTATATAATATTTTTGATGATCAGTCATTATCCTAAAGAATGGATGAGAAAGCCCTTCAGACAAATGGTGCCCGTATCTACTACACTGTCTCTATTATTAGTTTTATATTCCCAACCAAAGCCTCTAACTGGATAATATCTAAAGGATATTCTGAATGTGGTAAACATTTCTAATGTCAGAAAGACAGTGCTTCACCTTCTGGATAGGGAGGGAGAGAGGGAGATAGGGAGGAAGGGAGGGGTAGCCAGGTGGATGGATCCTAAAAAACTAGGGGTATGGGGCAAGAGCGAGAATTCAGTTGGCAAACTGTTTGCTGTGCAATCCTGAGGATATAAGTTTGATCCCCACAATGCACATGAAAAAGCAGGGGCTGATGATAGGTAATTGCAATCCCAGTGCTGGGGGTCCCTGGGGCTTGATGACCAATGAGCCTGGCCTAATTGATGAGTTTAAGGTCAATAAGAGTCCCTAAAAATAACAAGGTAAAGGCTTCTAGAGAACATAAGGTTGTCCTCTGGCTCCAAACACCCCCACACACACACACACAAACACACACACTGCATATACACAGCCATGAACACTGCAAACACAGGTATGCCCACTGTGTTCATACACATGCACACACACACACACACAAACACACACACACACACACACACACACACACACACACACACACACACACACACGAAATATTAATGGAACTTCCTTCTAGCTTCTTGTATCGTTCCAATATTTAGCATGTTAAGGACAGCCAACATAAATATAGCTGCCTATAAATTTGGCCTATAAACATATAATTGCCTATCTCAATTATAATAATACTGAGATTTCAAAATGTATCTGTGAATTAAAAATAGCATTCCTTTTAGGAATTAATTCTCAAACTACAAGTTCCTATTGCTGTTGTGGAATATTCCTTTACACTGTGTGAAAATGTGTCGCTGTAATTGGTTTTATAAAGAGCTGAACAGCCAGTAGCTAGGCAGGACTTCTGGGGAGAGAGACAGGTGTCCAGGAAGAAGAAAGCAGAGCCACCAGTCAAATGGAGAGAAAGCAATATAGACAGTACAGAGTAAAGGTGACTGAGTAAAAGGATATAGATTAAAAGATATGGGTTCACTTAAGTTATAAGAACTTAGTTAGGAACAAGTCTAAACTGAGACTGAGCTTCGTAATTAATAAGTCTCCATGTCATTTTCTGTGACCTGGGGGCCCAAAGAAAAATCTGTCTACATATTGTCATTATAAAACCCTGTCTTGATTACCCCACCACCACCACCCCGCCCCACTGCATCAGTGACCACAGAAATC